AGAGAAGACATCAGCTCCAATCTAGCATGCCTAGCATGCAGACCGAGTGCAGGATGCTCTTCTGCTGGCTCGGAAAGTGCATGGGCTTTAGTGGCTGTCTCCTCAGCTGCTTCGCTTTCCTCAGCCTCCTTTGCCTCCGCTTCGTATTCAGAATCCTCAGTTTCAGGCTCTCCCTCGTCAGGATCTTTTGCTTCAGAGTCTTCGTCTTCGCTTTCTTCTGCTTCAAAATCTTCTTCCTAAAAAATTTCAGATCCAAAGCCTCCTGCTTCACCAGCTTCGAAAGCGGCGACTTCGCTTTCAGCAGCTCTGATGTCTTCACTGCGTCGATGCGGCGACACTCTCAGCTCTTGGAGCGAGAGAAGGCCGTACAGGCTCAGGTGGGCGAGGCAGGTGAGGGCGAGAAACGTCTCTGGTAGGTAGTACGCCTCTGGGAAGACGTTTGAGAGGGAAACGGTGGTGATGGAGCAAGGGAGGGAGATGGCTGCAGGCATCGCTTGTAAGGGCGAGCTGAAGGTGTTTTCCAACATAAGCGTTGCAGTTTTCCAAGGTGAATTGCTCCAGCCTCGGCAGCAGATCGAGGCCCTCTGGAAGGTTCTGTAGAAGCGCGCAGCTGGAAATTTCCAGGGTATGAAGCATGGGGAGCGGAGAGCGGCACGCAGCCGGGCGAAAAGAGGGGTGGGAAGGAGCACCAGGAGCAGCGGCAGCGGCAGCAGGGAAAGCGGCAGCAGGGAAAGCGGCAGCAGGGAAAGCGGTGGCAGGGGCTGAAGGTTCCGCAGCAGCGGAGGTCGATTTGGGACGAGCGGGCAGGAAAGAAGGGAAGCTGCGCAGCTGCTTACGGTTCTTCACCTCGAGAACTTTCAGCCCGGACAGGTGTCGCAATCCCACTGGCAAACTCTGCAGCGCGTCACAGCCATCGATAATAAGCTTCAGCAGGCAGGTGAGCCGGGAGAAGGACGGTGAGAAACTGTGAAGCATGCAGCCCCCAGTGAGCGGAATATCAAACACTGTGAATGACCTGCCAGCAGCATCAGCAGGAGGAGGAGGAGAGGAAGGTTGGCCGAGATCCGCACTGTTTCTCGTGAAAATCCCCTTGGTGCCAACCTTGAGAACTCCAGCTTTGACAGCTGCCCGAACCTCTCTGGCAAGCTCGGCATGGCGTAGTTGTACAGCTCCAGCCGCTGAAGCTGCGGGAGCTGCTCGAAGCACGGAGGCAGGGTTCGAAGAGAGGTTCCGCCATGGATGACTAGGGTTCCCAGGGAGGAAAGAATTGCCAAGAAAGCGGGCAGCTCGTGTAATGCATCGCAGCCGTAGATCTTCAGCTCTTGCAGTTTTTGCAGATGCCCGAACGACATGGGCAGGGAGGTAACTCGCCTGCAGGAAACCTTCAGCTGCACCAAATTCTCCAGCTGCCCGAAATCTTCGGGTAGCGTCCACGCAGCGCAACTGTCAAGAATAAGGCGGGTAAGAGACCCCATGGTAGAGACAGAACACGGGAGGCCCACAAGGCGACTGCAGGCAACGACTGTGAGCTCCTGAAGAGTGGAGACGCGGCCCAGGGAGTCTGGGAGAGCGGTGAGGGAGTCTATAAAGTTCAGCTCGACGTGTTCTAGGGGGGGTATGTTGCCGATGGCGTCCGGCTGGGACCTGAGCAGCTGGCAGTTGTGGATAGTGAGGTGGTTGAGTGTGCATGAGGCGGAGAGAGACGGCGGGAGCTGTATGAGAGGAATGATGTATCGAATGCTGAGGTCCTGCAGCGCGGGCAGCTAGCCGAAAGATTTCGGAAGGGCAGTGAGGGCAACGAGCCCTTCCAGGTGGAGGGTGCACAGATTTGGCAGTTGGTAAAAGTTTTCGGGCAGTTTGGTGAACTCGTGGCACTGCTCGAGGGTGAGGCTGGGGAGGGCTGAAAGGAGGGTGACGGAGGCGAGCAGCTCGACGAGCTTCATTAAGAACTGAAGGCAGAGGCTCTTGAGGTTTCGAAGCTGCCCGAAGTCGCTGGGCAGGTGGGAAATTTCGCAGCCGCGGAAAGTGACGTGCTCTAGAGAGGCGAGAAAGTAGAAGGAATCGGGCAGCGCGAGATACGACGACACGATCTGTAACCGCTTCAGCCGCACCAGGCAGCCGAACTCCGCTGGTAACATGGTAACGCCTTCGCGAAAGGACATGCTGGGTTTCGTGAGCTGCTGCAAGCAGCTGATGGCTGGCGGAAGCTCCGAGATCCCTTTCCCGAAGCTCAAGTCGAGGCTGACCAATCGCGTGTAAGACGTAAACAAGGCGGCGACTTCGGACGGCGAGATCGATCTCGCCGCCACCGCCGCCTCGGCTGCCTTCGTCGCCTGCGCACCGATCCCGCGGAAGCAGAATTCTTGCGCGCGCATCACCGTCTCCCAGCCGTCGTAGAGCTGCAGCGTGAGATGCGTAATGAAAGGCCTAGATCCGGCGCAGATGGCGCGCAGGAGATCGGGGTCGACGGTGTCGAGCGTGTACGGGGCGAGATGCAGGTGGCGGAGGTTGGGGAAACATCATGCAAAGGGCGCGGGCGGAGAAAACACGGGCCCGCGGAGGATGGACGCGAGGGCGCACGCGGAGAAGAGGCGGTCGCGCGGGATGACGATGGTGGGATGCACGGATCGGGCGACGCGCAGCCAGCGCTTGTAGACGAGCGCATGGCGGAAGGAGACGAGCGACGAGGCGCACTTGACCACAGGACCTTGAGCCTTCGAAAATCGAGCCTTGGGAGCCTCAGAATTGCCGGCGAGCCACGCGCTCTCGGAGGGAAGCGGCTTGAGCAGGGCCTCATCGATCCTTCTTTTCCAACGCGTCCTCCTCGGGTTCGGAGAGAGAATCGCGACCGTCAAATCTGCAGCCATTGGACGCCACGCGGAGCAGCACGGCGCCCAGCAGTTTGTCGGAGAAATCGGAGAAAGGATCGCCACCGTCGGATCGCTTGGCCCGGTGCAGCGGCGGCGTCGGCGGTGGCGCCTACTCATTCGAAGCCTCGGCCATCGTGTGATCTGGCGGTTCTACGTGGGCTTGCTTGAGACTCGCCATGAAAGCTAGATGAGAACAACGATCTCCGAACACAAGAAACCAACACTTGAGGAAAGTGGAAGTCTTCGAATCGACATCTGAGAAACTCGGATCCTAGCAGGTAGGGAGCTTTGTAAACAGGGCCAACAATAACCCTTTCCCAGGAAAAATTCCTATGCACAGTAAGCGAGAGGGCGAGGCGGTGCATCTCTCGTAATACCGTAGCTTCAAGCGTTCTGGTTCATCTCCCCGTCCCTCGTTCTGCTCGAAATTTGCGACTCAACTTCACACATCCCTTTTCGCTTCACCATGCCGCTTCGCACCCTGATGGAGATGGCCCACGCCTCCTTGCCATGCCGCGTTGTGCGCTTCCCTCGTGTACTTGGTGCAAGCTGGAGTAGGGACATGTAACCTTATACCCATCCACCGACGTAGGGGGGATGGGTACGCCTGCGCAGTGTGCAAGCATCACCCACGCGTTTGAAGGAACGCCACGCCATGCGGGCCACGTGTCTCGTATCCCACGTGTGTCGAGCCATTCCCTCCATGGGACCTCCCCGTGCGTACAGCTTCTTTGTGACATGCAACACGGCACTCGCTAGCGGAACCCCAGCTGATATACTACAGCATTAGTTCAATTCTCATCAGGCGTGTTCTCTCATACTAAGAACTAGAAGCTCACAGAGTCGCAGATCTCGGCGCCCATAGTCATCGTCGGGATGCCAGATTGAACCTAGATCTGAACTGAAGCGAATAATGAATGAGTAGATTAGGGAGGTGCTTTGAGTTTGGTTGTTTGGCAAGTCACGAACTACGGAGTGGTTACATTCGACGCGAGGGGTAATCACCAGTTTCGCGAGGGTGAAATCGCCAGTTACATTCCCCGAAATTCGAAACAAAATTGGCGCGAAGGAGGCTCGAGCGTGCCCATTCGGACAGCACATTCTACGCCGTTCGAAACATCCCGCCAAACCTCCAAAAGTCTGATTCGCAAAATTCGCGAGACTGAAAGAAAATGTACATTGTTGCCACTGCCACCAAGAACTCCACACCCCCTTGATTTGACAGGTCAAGCAGCAGTCAACGCGTGCCCCTATTGTGTTTTGAGCACCCTATCTCACAGTTGGGACGACTTGAATTTCGCAAAATTCGCGTAAGCCTCGGATTTGCGATGCTGACGTACTCCGCTTCTGTCACCCTCCTCGTAGTTCGAATGTCTTGGTTCGATATTACGCCGCTTCCAGAAATTCACGAAATTAGAACTAAAAATGCGTGAAAAATCCAAACAAACTCTAAGCACCACGCCCTTAGTCTGGGAGTTTACTACACTAGATTTCTGAAAGAGGCCCAAGTTTATTTTTGCCGGTTACTCCATTAATGGACGCCTTCAAATCGCTGGCAAATTGGGCCTGAAGGTAGGACCATGGTTACCCGTTTGGCAGGACCCTTGGAACATGGAAGACATTCGTTGTTTCTCCCGTGTACCCCGGCAACTGTCGCACAATCCCACCATGGTTCCGAGTCAACCTACAATTGTTCCTTCTGCATGTTCGCGCCCAGCAGTGTCGCAAGTGGTTGAGCCGCCCAAAATTGGGCCAGTCCAGGACGGGCCGTTGCCTGTAAATCCGTGCCAGTCGGACTGACGGGTGTATGGGGTCTCTGACGAATGGGCGGTTCACTGGACGTCATGTGTATAAAGATCTCGGCTCGGCTCCCCGGTGGAAGGGCGTGGTTTGAAAGACTTGATTTGCGAATTTGGGAAAGCTTCAACTTTTACCGAGTTTGACGATAGTTACCATTATCACGAAACCCGATAAAACATTTCGCCAATGCTGTAAATGCCTTGAAGCCATTTCTATCACCCAATACCGAGAATCACCACTTAGTATCTGCTATCCTCGTTTCCAGCCTTCTGTCCACTGGCAGGAATGGTTTGCCAGATCCATGCTGGTTACTGCATGCTGTTTGCCTCCCAGCTGTAATTATTTACGCGAGCCGTCCCTCCCAGCTCATACCAGTGCATACGACGGCGTCTCGCAAGACGTCTACTACTTGTTCTGCTGACGCCAGCCCCAGAAACTACGACGATAGCTCGTAGCATTTCTGCCGGTGATTGCGGGCCGGTCGTACTCAGACACTACTCGCTGTCTGTCGCTATTGCTGCTGATCCTTCAGTCAATTGTCGATAGTGCAGAACGGCAGAAGCAGCAAGCGTTCGATAATGCAGAAGGTACGGATGTCCGCAACCAGCGGTTCGATATCGTCCAAAAACGCTTAGGCCCGCCATTATGCGTCATTAGGCGCGCCGCGGGGCGCAGACCAGAAACCTATGACTATTTGGTTAGTATCTCACAGGAGACGCTCCTCACACGATGAGGTGTGATTTTTTTACTTTTGTAACAATCCTTTCTGGCTGGGAGAGGGATCGGATCGAGAGGTGACATGGATGGGAGGACCACCAGAACATCCGGGGCGCGCATGTTGAGCGTCTCTGGAGCGTAACATGGATGGGACACCAGAACATCCGGAGCGCATGTTGAGCGCATGTTGAGCGCATGTTGAGGTGATATGGATGGGAGGACCACCAGAACATCCAGAGCGCTCATGTTGGAGCGTGTGTTTCATGGTGGTGACTCTGTTTGATACCCCTTGTGTGGCAGGCCGAGGGATTTGGACCCGGACCGGAGGTCACATGGGAGGACCAGCAGAAGATTAACAAGTTTGTGCTACCTTGACTTACCTTGGCTGTTTCCCCCTCGTCTGGTAGGGCGAGGGATCGGATCCGGAGGTGACGTGGGAGGACCAGCAGAACATAAACAAGTTCGGGCGACTCAACAACCGCCTGCACGAGCTGGACGATGAGATCAAAGCAAAGAAGGTATTGATAGCAGCTTACCATGTTTATGTGCTTCAAGTGCGTCATTTCTTGCTTGCGTCACCCCAACCAGCTCAACAACCGACTGCATGAGCTGGATGACGAGATCCGAACAACGAAGATGGGGACAGCAACACACCATGTGTGCTTGATTTCTTGCTTGCATGCCACAACTGACTCGACAACTGCCTGCACGCACTGGATGACGAGATTCGCACAAAGGAGGTGCGCCATGCAACACCACGCCTCGTTCTGTTCGCTTTGCAACTACCAACTCAACAACCGACTGCTCCCGTGTGCTCTGACTCGTCACACCCGTGTGCTCTGACTCGTCACCCGTGTGCTCTGACTCGTCACCCGTGTGCCTCGAAAATGTGGAAGTCGCCAGCAACGAGCTGATTCTATGTGACGATGAGACGGTCTGGTGGGGGAGGTGTTTCTGCACACAGAGAGGGACGACGTGGAGGGGCTGCTGGAGGGGCTGGAGGAGCGCATGAGTGTTCTGACTCATGCCCTTTTCAACCGTCGCTCCCCCCACCCGCCCCCTCCTGCCCCCATTCTCCCTGTTCTTACTGCCAGGATTATCTAGAGAACGTGGAAGATGCGAGCAACGAGTTGATCCTATGCGACGACGACACAGTCAGATGCATGGCAGGGGAGGTGTTCCTGCACACAGAGAGGGACGACGTGGAGGGGCTGCTGGAGGGGCTGGAGGAGCGCACGAGTGTTCTGACTCGCACCCTTTTTAACCGTCGCACCCCCCACCCCCCCCCCTCCCGGCCCCATTCTCCCTCCCCCCTGTGCTCACTGCCAGGACTATCTTGAGAATGTAGAAGATGCGAGCAACGAGTTGATCCTATGCGACGATGATACAGTGCGGTACATGGCAGGGGAGGTGTTCCTGCACACAGAGAGGGACGACGTGGAGGGGCTGCTGGAGGGGCTCAAGGAGCGCACGAGTGGGGAGATAGAGGCGCTGGAGGGGGAGAAGGGCAGCCTGGTGGCGCAGATGGGCGAGCTCAAGGTGGTGCTGTACGGCAAGTTCAAAGATGCGATAAATCTAGAGGAGGATTGATGTATATGAGTACCTGGAATGTGAAGCTTTGGGGACTGAAGAAGTCTGTTTCTGTGGCGTTTGTGGCTTTTGTGGCCTTCATGGCGCCTCAGAAAGGGCTGCTGGGGGGCCTAAAGGAATGCACGAGCGCGGTGGGGAGATGGGAGAAGGGGAGCCTGGTGGCTCAGATGAGCAAGGTGAAGGCGGTGCTGTATGTATGGCAAGTTCAAAGATGCAATTATCGTAGGCTGGTTTTTAGGAGCAGGATAGGAGTGTGCTGCAATGTGACTCGGTTTGGTACTGGTTTACTGAGAGCGAATTCCTATGACCTCGCGCCAGACCACCTCACGTCAGACTCACGTGGTCCTGTGCGGTGCACAGGATTGATTTCGCAATTCCGTGCAGTGCGTCTCAGTTCGTCGCGAGTCTGGCGCGAGCTGTAGGAATTCACATTCTGGTGTCACCAAGGGCCCTTGCAGCACTGTCTTCGGACATCTGGATGCACTAGTCTTCCGTCTCCCCTCGTCAGTTGCACTACGCAACGACTACTACCGTAGGTACTAACTCTTCTTCCCCTGCATGCGTCTGGCCAGCTCTGCCTCTTGGTCAAGGTTCGGGAATCACCACGGGCCATTGCAGCCCGGCGCCCTTATGCCTCCACTATTCAATTGTATGATAGTACAACCAACCCAATGCTATCTGCTCTTCCCCTGCATGCGTCTGGCCAGCTCTGCCTCTTGGTCGGGAATCACCACGGGCCATTGCAGCCCGGCATCTTTGAACATCTGAGCCGTCTCCATCTCCTCTGCCCGGTCCAGGATCGACCTGCGGATGCTCTGAACGGAAAACAACAGCGGGCAGGGGTTAAAATGGAAGGGGGAAGGGGGGGGGGGGGAGGGGGCAGAGGGAAAATGGGGGTTCCGAAAGGAGAAGTGGGACCGTGAATAAGAGAGCCATCCAGGCAACGCTTCCTTTGATCCATCTCCTTTGATCCATCTCCTTTGATCCATCTCCTTTGATCCACCTCCTTTGATCCATCTCCTTTGATCCATCTCCTTCGATCCATCTCCTTCGATCCATCTCCTTCGATCCATCTCCTTCGATCCATCTCCTTCGATCCATCTCCTTCGATCCATCTCCTTCGATCCATCTCCTTCGATCCATCTCCTTCGATCCATCTCCTTCGATCCATCTCCTTCGATCCATCTCCTTCGATCCATCTCCTTCGATCCATCTCCTTCGATCCATCTCCTTCGATCCATCTCCTTCGATCCATCTCCTTCGATCCATCTCCTTTGATCCATCTCCTTTGATCCATCTCCTTTGATACATGCTGCAAAAAACACTTCCTCCAACCTATGCTCCTGAAGCAAGGGCAATTTTAGTCGACTCGGAACGAAATTACTATCACACGTGACATGGGCGAACATCCAAGCACAGAAGTCTGGATGCAGGCGGAGACTACTAGAGGGCATGGAGCAGCCGAGGACATGAGAGAGACTGCGAGAGAGATTTCGAGAGAAAGAAGAGAAAGAAGCAAGGATGAACAAGGATCCGAGCCGGCTCCAGGTATTCCTTGAAATGCGGAAGACGCACGAAGTCCATCAAATAGTCCAATCAGAGGCACACACCTGCACACACCAATCAAGGGCACACACCTGCACACCGCAATCAAGGGCCCACACCTGCGTTACCTGATGTACAGCTGGGGTAAGCTCACCTGCGCAGTCAGCTGGGTACAGTCCATGGTCTCCTCTTGTCCGTTATTGAATGTGACCTATAAGGAGGACAGGGGGATGGAGCATGACAAGGGAGCGGATGGGAGAATGGGGAGGCCCTGGAGGGGCGAGTGAAAAGCGGGGGGGAGTGGGAACGGCGGCAAGTGTGAGCTGGAAAGCGTCGGGCAAGGCAAGCGCGGTTCTTGATGCACCTGAACGGCGGAAGGAGGGGAAGACGGGGGCAAGGGGAGACGGCTTTTGAGTCGGCTCAAAGGCGAGGACAGCGCGGCTCTTGATGCGTCTGAACGCGGCGGAAGGAGGGGTAGACGAGGGGAAGGGGGAGGAAGGGGATCGAATGTGCACCTGAGCGAAGTGGAGACGACCGTCAGTGCGTCGTTAAGTTTGACGGCGACGCCGAGGAGTCTATTTTTGAGGTGCCTCAAAAATAGACTCGCCATGCATGAGGCGCCTCGAGAAGGGGATCGACGGTGCACCTGAGCGAAGTGGGGATGATCGTCAGTGCGTCGATTTGTTTGACGGCGACGTCGCGCTTCAAGTTCGAATCGCGTGCCCTCAGCGATTTGCACTGCGCGAGGACATAATCCTGGGGGGCATCGATTTGAAACGCACCTGAACGAAGGGGGGGTGATCGTCCGTGCGTCGCTTCACCGCAACGTCGCATTTGGGGTTGGACTCGCGCGCCTTCTGCGAGTTGCACTGCGCAAGGAACTCGAGCGCCGCCGCGTTGCGCCGATCGAACGCGTTGAACTCGATGCGCACGCGGCTCAGATGCTTCAACATGATGGACCTGCTCGCCTGCTCGGGCTAATCTGGACCTGCTCGCCTGCTCGGGCTACCCCGCTGCTTTTCAAACTGATAGTCTCACTAGCCTGCTCCCGCTCCCCCGCTCGTGCTAGCCTGCTCACGCTCCCCCGCTCGTGCTAGCCTGCTCGTGCGGTTCCGCTCCGCTCGTAATGCCCTGCTTGTGCTTCTCCGCGCGTGGTACTCCGCTCGTCGTGGTCTTCCCCTTGTCCTACTCCGCACGTGCTAGCCTGCTCGTGCTGCTCCGCTCGTAATATTCCGCTCCTTGCGCCTTTCGACAATCCCCTCTTTTACCGTAGCGCTGGTCCCACTCTTGCTGCAGTGCCCTACTCTTTACTCCGACCCTGCAGAACCTATCGTAGCACACTGCAGGATCTAAGATTCAAACGAGGTTAGAACGAGATTTCTAGTGGTGCGGTGCGGAATTTAGGGCGTGGAACATACAATCACGTGATTGAGGCCTGTTTTGGAAACAGAATGGTAACCCATCTCGCCAACCTTCGCAAATATTCAAGCGCGGTACACCTAGCCCGCGGTACATCTAGCCCGCGGTATTTTCACACCCATTATTTTCACAGGGGGTGCCGCCGAGATGGTACAGTATTTACCCCCCGAAAGCAGCTCCTGAAGACCAGATACTGATACCCTTGAAAACGATTTGAACTTGGGTTTCTATACGAAACACTTACTGTTCAATTTAGTGTTTCTCGAGTAAGGACACCCGATGTCAGCTTAGGCAGTTAAAGCTTTTTCACGCGTGGAGTTTGCCAAGCTTAGGTCGTAGGAACAAGGGGGTACTGTCTACGCACTCAGAATGTTCAGGTTGGAAGCACAAATTCTTCTGCCGCCTAGTTTCAGGTTGTAAGATTACCGCGGGCCAGGTGTATTACTTCCCCACCAACCTTGACAAAAGTCACGACTGATTTTTTTTGTCACATGTGTCGCATGCACGAAAAATGCCGAAAGTGAGGAATGGAGCATAAAGTGAGTCTGCAGCTGAGAGATCGCCGTAACCAGCTGTCGTGTTCGCCAAATTCTTAGTTTTTCTCGAACTTGCCAATTTTTTGTTTGGTAAAATGTTAGAAGGTTTGGTATCAGGTTGGGTCTCCGAACCTTCATTTGTTCGGAGAACAGAAATACCAACTGTGTTCAGCGTTTTCCCTGGTGTTTTCGTAACTGAGGGCGTGTGGCAAGTAGATGCAAAACGAAGGGAACGATGGGAGCGGAGCGGAGGAGGTGGAAACTCGTCGTGATTGCGGTTTTGCCATGTGTTCGCAGAAACAGTCCGTGTGGCAAGTAGAGAAGTCCAGAAAACAATAAGCTGACCAAGGTACACGATGTCATCAAACATGAAGTGCATCATATCACTCTGGAGTTGGGCTTCATTGCGCAGCTGGAAGACCAGCATCTCCTTTCGGGGCGGTGCCCTATGTCAGCGGCCAAGACGTTTAGTCGGGTACAACCTTGGCTTTGGATATCTCTATGGCTGACCGCCAACAGGGGTTCCCCCACTCCAATGCCGCCCAGGTTATTGGTTCGGCCGCCGCCACGCATGAAACTGAGAAGACCACTCTCTACGCCCCGTCGCTGCGCACCCACCCGAATGTCAAACTTCTTCTCTTGGTCCTTGAGACTTCCGGGTGCTTTGAAAAGTCCTTCCAAGACTTCCTCAAAGACTGCAGTCGCCATGGTGCTTCCTGTCTTCGCGATTTCAACGGCTCTCCCGATCTTTTGCTCCACATGTTTGAAACCAACTTTTACAAGCACATTTCGCTCGTCCATCAGCGCGAGCAGGCCCGCACAATTTGTAGGCGTGCGTAGGTCCGTCTCTCTTACGGCACCGACGCAGCCCCGTATGAAGTTGTGTCATAACATCTAATGTGTCGAGGAAAAGTTGCACTATCGATCAGTACAAGGCGCTTTTATACTTCCAAAGTACATCAAGTAACCAAGTCTATCTTATCCTAAGGGAATTGGCCCTTCTAGAAAATAGAATCACCCTGCGACTATTGACTTTAAAGGATTACGGCAGGATTACGCTAGATATAGCGTACCAGTACATCACGAGCCTGGTCGGTGATATGATTATAATAAGAAGATAAACCAAAGGATTATGGAAAATGAGGAATAGGAATCCAAATTGAATGAGATAAAGACCAAATATATCAGGATAAAAAGAGGAATGAAATGAAAGGGGAATATGGAAAGGAGAAAGGAATGGAATGGGATCGTACTCTCACACTTCCCCCCCTCAAAGCTGGGTGGTAGACGTAACACCCTACTTGACAAGGTAGTCGCGAAGAGAACGACGAGCGTAATCCATCTCGGATTCAGGGACCCAGCTATCCTCTGAAGGGTCAAATCCCTTCCAACGGATGAGAAGCTCCACGTTGCCATTCCGTCGTCGGCGGTGAGCAAGCACGAACTCGACCTCGTACCGGGGTTCATCATGGACGAGGACGGGCGGCGGCGGCGGCGGTTGGCGTCCAGAGAAGATCGTGTTGGGATCTCGGGAGGGCTTCAAGAGTTGGACATGGAAGGCGTTGTGAATCTTCCAGGTAGCTGGCAGGCGTAAGCGGAAGGTAATAGGAGTGACCTGTGCTTCAAAGAGGAAAGGCCCGCAGAAGCGAGGTCGCAGTTTGGATGGGAGATGGCTGATGTCAAGATTGCGCATATCAAGCAGTACTCGGTCTCCCACGGTGATGGTGTGGTCTGTGCGGTGGCGATCGGCCTGGTGCTTCTGTTGTTGCTGAATGTCGAGAAGGCGCTTGTGGGTCCAATCCCAAAGTTTGTGCATGGTCGTGATGAAATCATGAGCGGGTTGGACTGTGGCTGGTATTTTTGGCTGTTGAGGTGTGAGTGGGTGGCGTCCGTAACACAGGAAGAACGGCGTCTGTCCAGTAGCGGCGTGAGTAGCATTGTTGTAGGCAAACTCCAGTACGAGCAGATGCAAGACCCATTTGGAGATTTCGTCCTAGCAGGCTGCTCGGAGTAGTTGCTCTACAATTTGGTTAAGACGCTCAGTCAGGCTCCGTCTGTCTGCGGATGGTATGCGGATGACATGGCGAGCTTGGTTCCGAGTAGAGACATCAGTTCTTTCCAGAATTTACTGATGAACTTAGGTCTCGGTCGGAGATGAATGTGGTTGGAATGCCATGTTGTGAAATGATGTAGCGAACAAAAAGTTGTGCTGCCTCTTCGGTGCGTGCTGTCGTGTGTGTTGGGATGAAGTGTCCCATTTTGGATAACTTGTCAATGACGACGAGGATCGCGTCATGACTGCTTGTGGTAGTTGGTAACCCGGTGATGAAGTCTAGGCTGACCACTTGCCATGGCTGTTCTGGGACAGGAAGAGGCTGTAGCAGACCCACCTTTTTCTTCTTGTTGCTCTTCATCCGCTGATATGTAGTCTATGAGGTGACGAATTTCTGCACGGCATCTGCCGTGTGGGGCCAGTATTAGTGTTTGACGATACCGGTGAGCGTCTTGTTGCTACCAAAGTGTACTGCGTACAGAACGTCGTGGTATTCTTCGAGTAGTAACTAGCGCAAGGGAGGGTAATTAGGTACCCAGATTTTTGTTGATCCTTTCCGGTACGCGATGTCGTTGTCCCACTGTAGCAGATGTCGCTTTTCTGCCAAGGGAATTTCGGGGTCGATGGTGTACCCGTATGTGATGAGTCCCTTGAGGAGTGGATTCATCCCTTCAACCTGCATCGCGGCGACGTGTGCAGGCCAGCTAAGCGCATCGCTTGTACACGATGTCGTAGTGGAAGTGCGTCTCAAGGAAGTCGATCCACCGATCCTGTCGCTTGGAGAGGCTTGGTTGCATCTTCAAATATTTGAGGATGCAATGGTCGGTGTAGACTGTTGTTTTGCATCCTTCGAGATAACATCTCCACGTTTTGAAGGCGATGATGATAGCAAGGGCTTCATTGTCGTGTATTGGGTAGTTGAGTTCTGCCCCGTGTAATATTTTGCTGAGGTAGGCAATTGGTTGCAGTCCATTCCCCAGGTCTTGCATCAAGACTGCTCCCACTACCTGGTCGCTGGCGCCAGCTTCGATGACGTAGTCGCGTTCGGGGTCTGGAAAGATGAGTACAAGTGCGGACGTGAGTGCTTGTTTTAGCTGTTCCACGGCTTCCTGATGTCTTGGTTCCTAGTTATAGGGCGTGTACTTCTTTAGCAGATTCGCGAGTGGCGCGGCGATCTTCGCGTATTGTGGCACGAACCTGCTGTAGTAGTTAGCGAAGCCTAGGAATTGTTGTAACTCCTTTACGTTCTTGGGTGTTTTCCACATTCGCACGGCTTCGATTTTCTTGGGGTCGACGTGAAATCTTTGAGCGCTTATGATATGTCCGAGGAATTGGACTTTCTCGAGGGCAAAGTCGCTCTTGGATAGTTTGACGTAAAAGCGTTCTCGTCAAAGAATCTCGAAGACGCGTCGCAGGTGTTCGACGTGTTGTTGCGTGTCGCGCGAGTAGACGAGGATGTCGTCCAAGTACACCACCATGCACTCGTCGAAGAGTGGGCGTATGATGTGATTCATTTCTGCTTGGAATGTTGCAGGTGCATTGGTGAGCCCGAACATCATTACCAGATACTCGTACAATCGGTACCGAGTTCGGAAGGCAGTTTTGTGAACGGAATCGTCCGCCATTCGTATCTGCCAGTATCCGGACCGCAGATCTAATTTTGAAAATACTGTGGCTCCCCGAAGCTGGTCAAGCAGGTCATCGATTCGTGGAATCAAGTACTTGTTCTTGATGGTCTGCTTGTTGAGAGCTCGGCAATCGATGCACATGCGCAGGCTTCCGTCCGGTTTCGGTGTAAAGCGTACTGGGGCACCGTATGGTGAAGTGGATGGTTGGATGAGTTCTTTGGCGAGGAGATACTCGATCAGCTTTTTCATGTTGGCTAGTTTTGTGGGGCTGAGCTGGTATGGTGCTCGGAAGGTCGGCTTCAAACCTGGTTCCTCCACGACCTCGTGTTGGTGCGTTCGGTATGGCGGTAGCTCGTCCGGGAGGTCATTGGGAAGAGTGTCTTGGAACTCCTTCACTAAGTCCTTGATTTTTTCTGGAGGTTCCGAGGCTTTCTCTCCGTCATTCTCCACCTCTGTTGCTATCGCCAGAAATCCGGTGTTGGTTCATTTCACGTCCTTCTCGAACCAGGCGAGTGTCTCCACTGGAATATCTCCTGTATCATCCCAGTTGGGTAGCTGGACTCTCCTTCCTTTATTGTAGATGCTTGCGGTGTGGTTTACCCAGTTGATCTCGAGGTTAAATTTCTTGAGGAAGTCTCGCACGAAGATCAGGTCAAGCCCGTTTATGTTGGTGATGGGGAGAGCAGGTTTCTAGCGCAGTGGTCCGATTTGTAAGTGTAACACTGCTTCGCCGTACACTTGTAACTTGCTGCCGTCCACCAT